GCTCAGAATACATCAGTTTAGAAGTATATACATATAAAAATACACAATACATCCCTCCAAACTGCCAATATCGCAAACCCCTCCTTTAGAGTGCAGGCATTGTACTTCCAATTTCCAGGACTCAAGTCCGGTTATATAAAATAACCGGTTTCCCTGAATCCCTTCACTAAATATTACCCTGCTCACACTCCAACAGCTCGTCAGGTCCCAAATACCATTTGGCTCCATTCACTCCTATCTAACATGCTCATGCACGCCTGCTGGAAGTCCAAACCCCTCGCCCACACCACCCCCTTTACCCCCTCCCTCCAACCTTTTCGAGGACAACCCCTACCCTGCCTTCCTTCCCCTACAGATTTATACGCTCTCCATGTCATTCTACTTTGATCCATTCTAAATGACCAAACCACCTCAACAAACCCTCTTCAGCCCTCTGACTAATACTTTTATTAACTCCACACCTTCTCGTAATTTCCACACTCCGAATTTTCTACATAATATTTACACCACACATTGCCCTTAGACAGGACATCTCCACTGCCTCCAACCACCTCCTCACTGCAGCATTCACAACCCAGGCTTCACACCCATATAAGAGTGTTGGTACTACATACTATACTTTCATACATTCCCTTCTTGGCCTCCATAGATAACATTTTTTGCCTCCACATATACCTCAGTGCACCACTTACCTTTTTTCCTTCATCAATTCTGTGATTAACCTAATCCTTCATAAATCCATCCGCTGACACGTCAACTCCCAAATGCAGTGGACCCTCGACCAACGTTGGCATCGTCTAACGTTAAATCTGACTAGCGATACATTTTAATGCAAAAATTTTGCCTCGACTAGCGCTAAAAAACCCGACCAGTGGTATTCGTTCTGTTCAAGACGCGTCCACTTGTGGCCTGAGCGTGCCTCACTTGTTCCGTGGGTGCCAGTGTTTACAAGCCAGCCAGCCACCGCGGTCCCATCCAAACATACAATCGGAACATTTCATATTATCACAGCGTTTGTAGTGATTGCACCTGCAAAATAAGTCACCATGGGCCCCAAGAAAGCTTCTAGTGCCAACCCTACGGCAAAAAGGGTGAGAATTACTATGGATATGAAGAAAGAGATCATTGCTAAGTATGAAAGTGGAGTGCGTGTCTCCGAGCTGGCCAGGTTGTACACAAAACCCCAATCAACCATCGCTACTATGTGGGCAAGAAATGGCAATCAAGGAAGTGTTCTTGCCCAAAAGGGGCAACTATGTTTTCGAAACTGAGATCGCAAGTTGATAGAAGATGTTGAGAAGACTGTTATTGGTGTGGATAAACGAAAACAGATAGCAGGAGATAGCAACTCCAAACGATCATATGTGAAAGGGTAGGAAGTTGCATGACAATTAAAAAAATGCCAGCAACTAGTGGTGATGTGAGTGAATTTAAGGCCAGCAAGTTGGTTTTAGAGATTTTAAAAATCGTAGTGGCATACATAGTGTGATGAGGCATGGTGAGGCTGCCAGTTCAGACCACAAAGCGGCTGAAAAAATATGTGCAGGAAATTTAAGGAGTACATAGACCCGTGAAGGACTGAAACCTGAACAAGTGTTTAATTGTGACGAAACAGGCCTGTTTTGGAAGAAAATGCCAAGCAGGACCTACATTACTCAGGAGGAAAAGGCACTCCCAGGACATAAGCCTATGAAAGACAGGCTTACTCTGTTGATGTGTGCCAATGCTAGTGGTGATTGCAAAGTGAAGCCTTTATTGGTGTATCACTCTGAAACTCGCAGAGTGTTCAGGAAAAACAATGTCCTCAAGGCTAATTTGTGTGTGCTGTGGAGGGCAAGCAGTAAGGTATGGGTCACTAGGGACTTTTCTATGACTGGTTACACCATGCATTTGCCCCCACTGTGAAAAATTACCTCCTGGAAAATAAATTGGACCTTAAGTGCCTCCTGGTATTAGACAATGCTCCTGGTCATCCTTCAGACGTGGCAGAGCGACTTTCTGCGGACATGAGCTTCATTAAGGTGAAGTTTTTGCCTCCTAATACCACTCCTCTCCTGCAGCCCATGGACCAGCAGGTTATTGCAAACTTCAAAAAACTGTACACAAAAGCTATGTTTGGAAGGTGCTTTGTAGTGACCTCAGAAACTCAACTGACTCTAAGAGAGTTTTGGAGAGATCACTTTAGCATCCTCAGTTGTGTAAACATTATAGGTAAGGCTTGGGAGGGAGTGACTAAGAGGACCTTGAACTCTGCTTGGAAGAAACTGTGGCCAGAATGTGTAAACAAAAGGGATTTTGAAGGATTTGAGGCTAACCCTGAGAAGCCTATGCCAGTTGAGGAATCCATTTTGGCATTGGGGAAGTCCTTGGGGTTGGAGGTTAGTGGTGAGGATGTGGAAGAGTTGGAGGAGGAGGGCAATGAAGAACTAACCACTGATGAGCTGCTAGATCATCTTCAACAGCAAGAGGCCAGACCTGAGGAAACTGCTTCGGAGGAGGGGAGAGAGAAATTGAAGAAGTTGCCTACTTCAAAGATTAAGGAAATGTGTGCAATGTGGCTTAAATTGCAAATCTTTTTTGATGAAAATCACCTTCACACAGCTATTGCAAGCCATGCCCGTGACTATTACACTGACAATATTGTGAAACACTTTAGGAATGTCATAAAGGAACGGGAGGTACAGGCCTCTATGGACAGATATGTTGTGCGACAGAAGTCCAGTGGCTCTCAAGCTGGTCCTAGTGGCATTAAAAGAAGAAGGGAAGTAACCCCAGAAAAGGACTTGCCACCTCAAGTCCTAATGGAAGGGGATTCCCCTTCTAAACACTAAGACCATCCACACTCTCCCCTCCTCCCATCCCATCAATCATCACCAGATCTTCAATAAAGGTAAGTGTCATGTAACTGTGCATGTCTTCTTCAGTTTGTGTGTATTAAAATTAATATTTCAGGTGGTAAAAATTTTTTTTTTCAATACTTTGGGGTGCGGATTAATTTGACTTCCATTATTTCTTATGTGGAAAATTAACTCGACTAACGATAATTTCGATTAACGATGAGCTCTCAGGAACGGATTAATATCGTTGGTCGAGGGTCCACTGTATCTGAAAACATTCACTTCTTCCATACTCCTCCTCCCCAATTTGATATCCTTATTCTACATTATAGTCTTTCTACTTTTAAAAAAAAAAAAAGCTACTGTGAAACAGTATGGGGTGTTATACCGGCAGCAGCTTCGTACATCTCATGTTTACCACATCTTGATAACATCATTTTCCCTTGTGCTGGATTTAATCTCGTGCTGTTTTGTTCATCATGGCCCCTCAGCATACAAAATTCACAGTGAAGGATTTAGCAGAAGCTTTTGCAGACCTCAAGAAACTCCTTAAAATGTTTGAAAATGTTCACACAGCAACAAAATCACCTAACAACGCATTTCTCAGAATGTATCTCTGACATTAATCGATGCATAGCTATACTGTAGTGTAAAGCACCCTTCTGGCAAGACAGTGAGGGAGTGAATGATGGTGAAAGTTTTTCTTTTTCGGGCCACCCTGCCTTGGTGGGAATCGGCCAGTGTGATAATAAAAAAAAAAAAAATAATAAAATAGCTATACTCTAAGGCTCGTTTCCTTAAGGTGAAACTAAATGGTGCATCTTTCTTGGTGTTTTTGTTCAATTCATTCAATAAGTTTTTTGTCTTCTTTAGCTGTTGTGACTTGTGTATCATTTTTTTCAGGCCACAACCTGGGTTATTCATTACACAAGCTCGTATATTTATTTGTCTCGTTCCATTTAATTGAACAGAACTTCATGTATCCAACTGAACATTGATTAATAAAGGCAAGTTTTTAGGTCTACACCTTGACTGCAACTTGAAATTTTGGGGGATTTTCTTTCTTTTTGGGTCACCCTGCCTTGGTGGGAGACGGCCGACTTGTTGAAAAAAAAAAATCTAATACATAATCAAGAAGGTCTCCAAAACAGTAGATGTCCTCTCCAAGATGCATTACTGTGTACCTCAAACAACACTACATGTACCACTCTCTAATCAACCCTTACCTCACCTATGGTATTGGTGCCTTGGGATACACTACACCAAATCACGTAAAACTATTAATGCAACAGAAAGTTGCTATGTGGACTATCACCCAATCCAGTGTCAGACGGCACATGCTACCACTCTTCATTCCAGTGTCAGACAGCACACTAAACCACACTTCATTTCAGTGTCAGACTGCACACTCCACCACTCTTCATTCCAGTGTCAGACAATGCACTCCACCACTTCTTTCCAGTGTCAGACAACACATACTACTATTCTTTCCAGTGTCAGACAACACACACTACTCTTCTTTCCAGTGTCAGACAACACCCCTCACTCTTCATTCCAGTGTCAGACAACACCCCCCCACTCTACATTCCAGTGTCAGACAACACCCCCCCACTCTACATTCCAGTGTCAGACAACACACTCCCCCACTCTTCAAAAGCTTGAACTTACTTAATATTGAAAATATGTATATACTAGTTTTACTGTGCCATCTATATTATATTTTATTAACACATCGGCCATTTCCCACCAAGGCAGGGTGGCCCAAAAAAGAAAAACTTTCATCATTCACTCCATCACTGTCTTGCCAGAGGTGCACTTACACTACAGTTATAAAACTGCAACATTAACACCTCTCCTTCAGAGTGCAGGCACTGCTGGAAGTCTAATCTCCTTACACACAAAACCTCCTTTAAAGATAGGCCTATCTTTAAAAAATAATGTCCTGACCCACAGGCTGGCTGCCCATGAGATGGAAAATCAGTCCAGTACCACAGCACTCCATATTTTATCCCTATCTTGCACCGTCAACATTGAATTTCACAGTTGTGATTGAAAAAAACAATTTAGCAAACATTGTATGTGGAAATAGTGCTGGAAGATCACATCTTAAATGATGGTCTATTGTGTATATATTATATTGACTTGTATACTTTTTTGTTTCAGGGAGATGAAGATCTGGATTTGTGTTGAGCTGATACACCTGGATGGATGCTGTAACTACACCTGGATGGTTGCTGTAACACCTGGATGGCTGTTGTAACACCTGGATGGCTGTTGTAACACCTGGATAGTTGTTGTAACTACACTGGATGGTTGCTGTAACTACACTTGGATGGTTGTACCTACACCTGGATGGTTGTAACTACACCTGGATGGTTATTGTAACAACACCTGGATGGTTGCTGTAACACCTGGATGGTTGCTGTAACACCTGGATGGTTGTACCTACACCTGGATGGTTGTAACTGCACTGGATGGTTGCTGTAACAACACCTGGATGGTTGTACCTACACCTTTATGGTTGTAACAATACCTGGATGGTTGCTGTAACAACACTTGAATGGTTGCTATAACAACACCTGGATGATTGCTGTAACACCTGGATGGTTGTAATTACACCTGGAACTAAGTCTAGTCATCTCTGGGACTATTGCAAGTAGTAGGCATAACCAGCTTTTGGATCAATCTTCCTGACAGCTTGTGGATCACTCTTCCTAAGCTGTCATCTTGTAGATCTTTGTTCGTAAGCTTTAAGGAACAAGAATCTGGATGAGAGCACAGGTGGGGGATGAAAGCTTGAGGCAAATAAGCTTTTCTCTGTAGGACAAAGCCTAAAGCTTTTTTTTCCTTGCCAATAAATACATTTGAGGATTGTGGATGATGGTTACGTAAGTCGGGACAGTCAGGCCACGTCAGGTCAGGTCTAGTCACTGTACAGGTGTAGTGTTGTGAATGGTGGACCTAGGGTAGGTCAGGTCATTACAAGTCCAGTCTGGTGAACAGAGGACCCGGTACAATTAAACCTGCACCTCGCATGTCTACAGGTCAGTGCTAGACTGCAATGTTACCTAATTACAGGTCAGTAACTATTCACATAACACCTAGGCTATAGGCTTAGATAAACTTAAAGCTTAGCTCTAAGCTTAATGACATGCATTGTTTCTAAGGCCTTTATCATCCTGTGACTAGCAGACATGCTACTGTGGCCCTCTGCTGTGCCTGTCTGATGTGGCCCTCTGCTGTGCCTGGCTGATGTGGCTCTCTGATGTGGCTCTCTGCTGTGCCTGTCTGATGTGGCCCTCTGTTGCACCTGTCTGGTGTGGCCCTCTGCTGTGCCTGATGTGGCCCTCTGTTGCACCTGTCTGGTGTGGCCCTCTGCTGTGCCTGATGTGGTCCTCTGTTGTACCTGTCTGGTGTGGCCCTCTGTTGTACCTGTATGGTGTGGTCCTCTGCTGTGCCTGTCTGATGTGGCCCTCTGCTGTGCCTGTATGGTGTGGCTCTGTACTGTGCCTGTCTGGTGTGGCTCTGTGCTGTGCCTGTCTGGTGTGGTCCTCTACTGTGATTTACACACAGTTCAGAGTCCTCAAATGTGCAAAAAATCACTGTTCAGGGTCCTGAACTGTGTGAAAATGTCTAGAGGCTCATTTCAGGCAAACATCCTCACCTTCACTAAACCTGTACAATGACCTGACCTGCTGTAATCTGATCTTACAGGACTATGTTATCTCCAGTGACTCCAGGTGTCAGGTCTCCAGGTGTTGTACATCCAGGTGTCAGTTAAAAATTTTTCAGCTTTTTGCTAATTAACTGAATATAAGAGAATTTTTTTTTTTCCTTTTTCAACTGTGATGTTTGTAAGCACTTAACTGTTGAACTAGTCATGGAATACATCCCAGAGTTAGTATGTATAATTTAGAGTCCAGAGTTCAGTAGATAATTTAATACCTGAGTTATGATGTATAATTTAGAGCCCAGAATTATGATGGTCCTCTCTCATCAACCAGTCACAAAACACAATATTGGTAGGATTGACTTGAGTGTTATGAGTGTGAGTGATGGATCATCAACCTCTGTACTGTTGTTTCCTCTTGGTTGAAGTTTGCAAATGACTCATTGAGAGGGTGCAACACCAGGAACAATGCTTGTGAGGACCCTTGTGTACAGCAGTAATAGATGCTGTATGAGGTGTACAGCACCTGTTGCTGCTGTACATCCAGTGCTGACTGGAAAGTAGAGGATGTTCACACAAATTCTGGTGACAGTTGTAATCAGTGGTGTGACGCATTTTTGACATCTGTACTTGATGCACCGTATGCTTGGCTTGTACAGAGTATGTTACAGCATACAGCACAATGTTATGTTTTAACCTTCGTTATACGACACATCTTGGTTAGTATACCAACTGTTACTTAACATTATACCAGCTGGTATACTCGCACACCTAATATTTTGCACCAAAATCTATTGATTGCTGAAGACAGTATTGGTTAGGGATCATGTGGTTACATTTTACTAGTTTAGTATTTATTCTAGATTTTAGTTTTTATTAACAGTTCAGTCTGATAAAAAGTATTTTGAGAATTGATGATGTTCAGGCAGCTGCTGTTATATCGATGTACAGGGGTTATCATGGGAGTTGACAGCTGTTTACATCTGTGGGGGTGTTGATGGTAGTTAACAATAAAAGTACAGCAGCTGTGTGGAGAGTACAAGTCAGCACAGCAGCTGTGTAGAGAGTACAGGTCAGCACAGCAGCTGTGTAGAGAGTAATATTCCCATCTCTCACAGCATACAGCATTTTCAGGAAATCTTTGATCTCTTTGTTATTTCAACATTGATGAGTACAACTGTGCATTGAAAATGCCAGAATGCTCTTTTTACACGTGTGCACATATGCAATGTGCACATGCACATGTGTGTGCACATGCATATGTGCACACACACACACATATATTCACAAAAGATCAGGCACACACACAGTAATGACAAAGGTGAGTGTCATCAACTCTCCAGTAGTTCCCAGAGGTTTTCCAAATGCATTATTGCTAAACTCTGACTATTATTGATTGTTCTGCCCACCACAACCCTAAGGACGAATAATACTTAGTGCTTATTATAGAAATATGTCATGTGTATATATCACCATAGATAAGTGTATAATTATGATAACTGGATGGAATTCCATGTAAAGTGGTGGAAATTACAAAGGGTAAAAGGCATGTATGTGTTGATCAAGATGTTGAGGTAATGTTTGTCTCTGAGAGACTGAGTTCTAATGCTAATTGGTTCTTGGCTGGAGATTTGATCTTGGCCAAGAAGCATTTGGTATTAAGGCTCAAGCAGCCACTCAGGAGAAATAATTGGTATTAGTACTCAGTAAGCCACTCAGAGAAACATTTGGTATTAAGACCCAAGTAGCCACTCAAGAGAAGTAATTGGTATTAGTACTCAAGCAGCCACTCAGAGAGAAACGTCCCCCTAACATCTTGATCAGAGTTCAAGTTACTTTCACTCGCAGCTTGTTGGTATCACCATGCTAGTTGCACCAGTACTGGTGATCATTGTTACAATCTTGTTACACTGTATATCATTCCAAAGCAGCAACACCACTGTCATTGTAGACAGTGGTGATGGCTCACCCACCCACTCAGATTATCCCACTTAGAGTAGTGTGAAATCGATGACGCTTAAATTATCCAGTTCTAGGTGTTTCATGTAGTGCTCCTCTAGATTTAAACAGGACAAAAATTATATTGTGTAAACTGTCAGAATATTCAAGATTGTTTTTATGCATATATATTAGCACCTTGATATTGTTCAGTGGCATTTGTCTTTACCAGTGGTGTTCTTGAGGGCAAACCTTTGTCAGACACATCATAATCCAGACTTTAGTCTCACTATACTGAATAACACTTCAGTCTTGTTTCTATGTGTAGGTGAACGTTATGTGCACTACCCTCTCCTGTGCACCTTTGTATGCTGCTATTTACATAGCTGTTTTAATATGGAAGGCCATTTAAAAGAGGTGTGTATTACAGTGTATAAATGAACACTATTTTATCTTGCATTATCCATAATGTTATGAGCATAGATAGATTTCTCTGATATAATGCAGAGGATATACACCTTGAAATCTAACTCTTCTGGATTATCATATACAGGATATATTGGGGGTTCTTAGCTTATGAACGCTTGCATTACGAATATTTCACTTTCAAATGCCTGTGTTACAAAAATATCCACTTACCAATAGGTCATTTATCGATTTGTTCAAATAGTGATTCAGTCATGAACGTGTGTGAAATGGCCATTTTCACCATTTTGTGTATGTGAATATTCCACATTACGAATGACTCGTTTGTACGTTGGAACACCAGGAATGCAAGACATTCGTAAGCCGATGACTTCCTCTACCTCCTCTAGGCCAGGAAGAGTGTAATAGCCTCCTGGTTGTATGTGTGTCATTAATGTATGATTCGTAATGACTGTAATTGTGATCAAACATCGCTTTCCATCTTGCCTTGTTATTGAAGATAGTCCATAGTTCTTACATACTATTATGTCAAGAATGACGTTCTCGAGAATATTGGCCAGTAGTTTTCATTCTATGTATCATAATAAGAATGTGGACTTGTGTGTTTTAGAATAGTCACGTGATACAGGGAACTAATGTGTCCTCACGAAAATATTAATCTACGTTAAGACTTTATGAAATAAATATTGATCTGCAATATTTACACTTGTTTAATATCCTAAAATACTCATCTTACAGAGGTTGCTTTCAGTAGGCTGTTTAATGCTACTCATCTATTATCCCTTGTTAATTCATAATAATATTGTACTTTTTTTTTTTTTTTTAACAAGTCGGCCATCTCCCACCAAGGCAGGGTGACCCAAAAAGAAAGAAAATCCTCAAAAAGAAAATACTTTCATCATCATTCAACACTTTTACCTCACTCACACATAATCACTTTTTTGCAGAGGCGCTCAGAACACAACAGTTTAGAAGCATATACGTATAAAGATGAAATTAAGACACGTGCAACATCTGGGTATCTTTATTGTAGACGTTTCGCCATCCAGTGGCTTTATCAATACAATGTATTGATAAAGCCACTGGATGGCGAAACGTCTACAATAAAGATACCCAGATGTTGCACATGTGTCTTAATTTCATCTTGTCGGTATTATATACTATTCTTGCACAACACGTATAAAGATACACAACATATCCCTCCAAACTGCTAATATCCTGAACCCCTCCTTTAGAGTGCAGGGATTGTACTTCCCATTTCCAGGACTCAAGTTCGGCTATATAAAAATAACCTGTTTCCCTGAATCCCTTCACTAAATATTACCCTGCTCACACTCCAACAGATCGTCAGGTCCCAAATACCATTCGTCTCCATTCACTCCTATCGAACACGCTCATGCACGCCTGCTGGAAGTCCAAGCCCCTCGCCCACAAAACCTCCCTTACCCCTTCCAACCTTTTCAAGGACGACCCCTACCCCGCCTTCCTTCCCCTACAGATTTATACGCTCTCCATGTCATTCTACTTTGATCCATTCTCTCTTAATGACCAAACCACCTCAACAACCCCACTTCAGCCCTCTGACTAATACTTTTATTAACTCCACCTAATTTCCACACTCCGAATTTTCTGCATATATTTACACCACACATTGCCCTTAGGACATCTCCACTGCCTCCAACCACCTCCTTGCTGCTGGATCCACAACCCAAGCTTCACACCCATATAAGAGTGTTGGTACTACTATACTTTCATACATTCCCTTCTTTGCCTCCATAGATAACGTTTTTTGTCTCCACATATACCTCACGCACCACTTGTCTTTTTTCCCTCATCAATTCTACAATTAATCTCATCCTTCATAAATCCATCTGCTGACACATCAACTCCCAAGTATCTGAAAACATTCACTTCTTCCATACTCCTTCCCATATTTGATATCCAATTTTTCTTGATCTAAATCATTGGATACCCTCATCACCTTAATCTTTTTTATATTCACTTTCAAGTTTCTACCTTTACACACACTCCCAAACTCATCCACTAACCTTTGCAATTTTTCTTTAGAATCTCCCATAAGCACAGTATCATCAGCAAAATGCAACTGTGTCAGTTCCCATTCTGTATTTGATTCCCCATAATTTAATCCCACCCCTCTCCCGAACACCCTAGCATTTACTTCTTTTACAACCCCATCTATAAATATATTAAACAACCATGGTGACATTACACATCCCTGTCTAAGACCTACTTTTACTGGGAAGTAGTCTCCCTCTCTTCTACACACCCTAGCCTGAGCCTCACTATCCTCATAAAAACTCTTTACAGCATTTAGTAACTTACCACCAATTCCATATACATGTACTTGTAACATCTGCCACATTGCTCCCTTATCCACTCTTATCATATGCCTTTTCTAAATCCATAAATGCAATAAAAACTTCCCTACCTTTATCTAAATATTGTTCACATATATGCTTCAAAATGAAATAAACATTACTTTTTCACTTTTTTGTTAATCATTATTACTCTACTAATATTTTATTAAAAACACCATATTTACTACCAGTCAATGGGGTTTTCCAAATAAAAACTTTTCCCACAAAATAAGCGCACCACGTCCCGGGGGAACATTCAATCTCACCTTCAAACCTTCTTGAAAACCATCCTAAAAAGAAAATTAAAAACCCTTCAAAAACTCCCCCATTTTTTGAATCCAAAATTTTTTTTAACAAAATTTGGAATACCCCTCACCCCTTTTAACTAAAATTCCCCCTTTAAAATTTCAAAACCTTTTTCACCCCCTCAAAAAACACCCCCTAATTTGGGGATTTTTCCCTAAACCTACCTAAGGGGAAAAGGGGGAAAATTTTTCAGGAAAATCCAAACTGTCCCAAATTTCCCAAAAAACCCTTAAAAACAAAAATCCCACCCCCCCCGAAAAGCATTTAAGTTTTTAAAACCAAAAAATTACCCAACCTGTTAATTCCCCCCACACCGGGGGTTTCCAAAGACCCCTATTTTACTGGGAAAAGAAAAAGCCCTTTTTCCTCACCCCCTACCGGGGGTTTTCCACCCCAAAAAACTTTACGGGCTTGATCCACCAAACCTCTAAACCCGGCCCCTTGCCCCAATTCCCCCCATAAACCCAAAATATAAAGGGGCTTTAATCCTTACTTTTTTTTTTATTTGTTCAAAATTAAAAAAATTTTAAATGTAAACATTTGATCAAACCATCCCCTCCCACTCTGAAACCTCCTTGCCTCCTAAATCCTACATTGTCTTCCTCTATAATTCTTTCAATTTTAACCCCCCATACACTTTCCTGGTAACTCAGTAAATTTTTCCCTCTAAATTTTTCCCAAACGTTTTATAGGGGTGTGAAGCAGGGGTGATAATTTTTGCAGCGAGGAAAGGCTGGGGAGGGAGATTCATGCTGGGGGCAATGTGGGGTGTGAATAAAATGCAGAAATTCGATTGGGAATTTGGGAGGAGGTGCGGGATTCCCAAAACTGTTGTCCAAGGGCTGAGGAAGGGTTTGTTGAGGGGGTTCGGACATGTAGAGAGAATGGAGAAAAACAGAATGACTTCAAGAGTGTATCAGCCCTGTATGGGAAGGAAGGGGGGGTAGGGGTCGCCTGGAAAGGTTGGAGGGGGGGGTAAAGGGTTTTTGTGTGCGGGGTTTGGGGTTTCCAGCAGACAGCATGAGCTTTTTTGATAGGATTGTGGGAAAAAAGGTTTTTAAACTTACTGCTGTTGGGTGACAAAGAACATTTTATAAGGGATTCAGGGAAACCATCCTCAGCCCCCTCCCTCTTTCCTTTAACGAAAAAGACCCCACCGCTTATTATTGCCATTGCTCGTTTTTTTAAGAAAAAAAGGAGATCACCTGATGACCTTAAGGGGTTTTAGCGTCTGTTATGTTTTTAAAATTTTCTTAAGCCGTGGCAGGTTTCTTATTCCCGATTGCTAAACTGCCTCAGACTCTGTAGTCCACTTCCACACTTCTGTAGACCTACTCCCAATCACCTCTTACCTACTTCCAGTCACCTCTGTAGTACCTACCACACTCCCCTTTGTATCTAACCCTTTTATCATCTACTTTTTTTCATCTGCCCCCGCACATTTGCCACCTACACGCCCTTAGGGGCTCTGCTGAAAAAACTCTTTCGTACCCCCAAAACAAAGTCTAAAATCACCAAGTACAAATCCCTTAAACCCCCTAAATCACATAATCCCCCACATACTTTCCTGTCTCGGGGTCATTCTTTTTCCCTCAAAATTATTTTCCCATTAGGGAAATTTAATCCACCCCCTTACAGCACTTGCTCGCTCGCCTCCGCTTCCCAAAAAAATTTTTCTTCGCACAAAAGTCCCTCAAACCTTTTGTATCTTCCCTTTTTTGGGGACCCCTCAGGGAGGTTCCTTGGCGGAAGGGCTCTTGTTTTGGGGAAATTTATCTGTGATTGGTTCCCTGAATTCCCTTTTCTCTTCCCAATGCTCTGTAAAACCCTAGGTTTTGCACCCCCCATGATTTAATAATTCCCCTTCTTTGGTAATACTGGAAGGGTTTTGGGGGCCCCAATGCCCCGGGGTCGATCTGTGCCCGGGCCCTCTGGGATCGGCTTGATCAACAGGCGTTATGTTGGCTACACATAAACCGACGTAAAAACCAAGCCCGCTGGCGGTACTGCTTTCGGGCCTGTCCAGTGCCGCTTGAAGACACCAGGTAATCCCCCCATTAGGGGTGGGGGGCAGTTGAACAGTCTTGGGCCCCGACTCTTATTGTAGGTCTCTTACGGGTAGTGACACCTCTGCTTTTTTATTTGGGGGGGTGTTGCACGTTGCCAGTCTTTTTTTAGGAGTGATTTTTGGTGCAAGTTTGCGTTTAAACCCCCTAGATTTCCAGGTGTATATAATCTGTAATTTCTCCCCCCTGCGTTCTAGGGGAAAACAGGTCGAGGAAATTTTAAGCGTTCTCAGTGTCTCTACTTCTCAACCTACATCTTTGCCCCTTGACATCTGCTTTCCCGCAGGTTCCCTGCCTCTCCCCCTTGCATCATGCTTTCCCGCGGGGCCCTGCCATCTGCCTCTTGAATCTGCTTCCCCGCAGGTTCCCTCCATTTTCCCTTGACATCTGCTTCCTGCAGGTTCCGCCATCTGCTTCCCTTTACATCATGCTTTTCCCGCAGGGGTTCCCCGCCATCTGCTTCTTGACATCATGCTTCCTCAGGTTCCCTGCCATCGTTCTTGACATCATGCTTCCGCGGGCCCTGCCATCGGCCTTGAACACTTTTTTGTTGTCTGACCAAAAGTTCTCGGTTCCCTCCACCTTCACATCAGCTTCTAGGGCCCTCCAATTTCTTCTTCCAGTTCCGGGTTCCCCCCCTTGGCAATTAAGCAAATTTTTTTTTTGCAGGGGAAAAAAAGTTTTCGATCAAATCCCAAAACCCCCAATTCCCCACCTTCTAAGTCCAAGCCTTTTTCAATTCCTTTCTCTTTCTAACCCCCTTTTGGGGATTTTTCATTTCCCTTCCAACCCGAAGTAAAGTTAATTCCAAACATGAAAATCTGTGTTGCCCCACATTATTTTTCAAACTTTTTAAAATTTTTTTTGTTTAAAAAAGGATTTATATTTTTTTTGGTTAAAAATTTAGTTTTTCAAATTGTTTTTTTCTCTGTTTTTTTAATTGTTCAGT